AAGAGGTAACACCTATCCTTCTCAAACTCTTCCAAAATATAGCAGAGGGAGGAACACTCCCAAACTCATTCTACAAGGCCACCATCACCCTGAAACTAACACCAGAAAAGAAGTCACAAAGAAAGAAAACTACAGGCCAATATCACTGATGAACCTAGTTGCAAAATTCCTCAACAAAATACTAGCAAACAGCATCCAACAGCACATTAAAAGGATCATACACCAAGATCAAGTGGGGTTTATGCCAGGAATGGAAGGATTCTTCAATATACGCAAATCAATCAATGTGATACACCATATTAACAAATCAAGGAGAAAAACCACAAGATCCTCTCAATAGATGCAGAGAAAGCTTTTGACAAAATTCAACACCCATTTATGATAAAAAACCCTGCAGAAAGTCGGCACAGAGGGAGCTTTCCTTTACATAATAAAGGCCATATATGACAAACTCACAGCCAACATTGTCCTCAATGGTGAAAACCTGAAAGCATTTCCACTAAGATCAGGAAAAAGACAAGGTTGCCCACTCTCACCACTTTTATTCAACATAGTTTTGGAAGTTCTAGTCACATCAATCAGAGAAGAAAAAGAAATAAAAGGAATCCAAATTGGAAAAGAAGAAGGAAAACTGTCACTGTTTGCAGATGCCATGATACTATACATAGAGAATCCTAAAGATGTTACTAGAAAACTACTAGAGCTAAACAATGAATTTGGTAAAGTAGCCGGATACAAAATTAATGCACAGAAATCTCTCACATTCATATACACTAATGATGAAAAATCTGAAAGTAAAATTAAGAAAACACTGCCATTTAACATTGCAACAAAAAGAATAAAATATCTAGGAATAAACCTACCTAAGGAGACAAAAGACCTGTATGCAGAAAATTATAAGACACTGTTGAAAGAAATTAAAGATGATACAAATAGATGGAGAGATATACCATGTTCTTGGATTGGAAGAATCGACATTGTGAAGATGACTCTACTACCCAAAGCAATCTACAGATTCAATGCAATCCCTATCAAACTACCACTGGCATTTTTCACAGAACTAGAAGAAAAGATTTCAAAATTTCACCTTCCCTGGTGGTGCAGTGGTTGAGAGTCTGCCTGCCGATGCAGGGGACACGGGTTCATGCCCTGGTCTGGGAGAATCCCACATGCCGCAGAGTGACTGGGCCTGTGAGCCATGGCTGCTGGGCCTGTGCATTCGGAGCCTGTGCTCCACAATGGGAGAGGCCACAACAGTGAGAGGCCCATGTACTGCAAAAAAAAAAATAACAAAAAAAATTTTACAAATTGTATGGAAACACAAAAGACCCCAAATAGCCAAAGCAATCTTGAGAACAAAAAACGGAGCTGGAGGAGTCAGACTCCCTGACTTCAGACTATACTACAAAGCTACAGTAATCCAGACAGTATGGTACTGGCACAAGAACAGAAATATAGATCAATGGAACAGGATAGAAAGCCCAGAGATAAACCCACGCACATGTGGTCACCTTATCTTTGATAAAGGAGGGAAGAATATACAGTGGAGAAAAGACAGCCTCTTCAATAAGTGGTGCTGAGAAAACTGTACAGGTACAAGTAAAAGTATGAAATTAGAACACTCCCTAACACCATACACAAAAATAAACTCAAAATGTATTAAAGACCTAAATGTAAGGCCAGACACTATCAAACTCTTAGAGGAAAACCTAGGCAGCACACTCTATGACATAAATCACAGCAAGATCCTTTTTGACCCACCTCCTAGAGAAATGGAAATAAAAACAAAAATAAACAATTGGGACCTAATGAAACTTAAAAGCTTTTGCACAGTGAAGGAAACCATAAACAAGACCAAAAGACAACCCTCAGAATGGGAGAAAATATTTTCAAATGAAGCAACTGACAAAGGATTAAGCTCATAAATTTATAAGCAAATCATGCAGCTCAATAACAAAAAAACAAACAACCCAATCCAAAAATAGGCAGAAGACCTAAATAGACATTTCTCCAAAGAAGACATACAGACTGCCAACAAAGACATGAAAGAATGCTCAACGTCATCAATCATTAGAGAAATGCAAATCAAAACTGCAATGAGATATCATCTCTCACCAGTCAGAATGGCCATCATCAAAAAATCTAGAAACAATAAATTCTGGAGAGGGTATGGAGAAAAGGGAACCCTCTTGCACTATTGGTGGGAATGTAAGTTGATACAGCCACTATGGAGAACAGTATGGAGGTTTCTTTAAAAACTACAAATAGAACTACCATATGACCCAGGAATCCCACTACTGAGAAAACCATAATTCAAAAAGAGTCATGTACCAAAATGTTCAGTGAAGCTCTATTTACAATAGCCGGGATATGGAAGCAACCTAAATGTCCATCGACAGATGAATGGATAAAGAATATGTGGCACATATATACAATGGAATATTACTCAGCCATATAAAGTAACAAAATTGAGTTATTTGTGGTGAGGTGGATGGACCTAGAGTCTGTCTTACAGAGCGAAGTATGTCAGAAAGAGGAAAACAAATATCATATGCTAACACATATGTATGGAATCTAAGAAAAAGAAAAAGAGGTCATGAAGAACCTAGGGGTAAGACGGGAATAAAGACACAGACCTACTAAAGCATGGACTTTAGGATATGGGGAGGGGGAGGGGGAGGCTGTGATGAGGTGAGAGAGTGGCATGGACATATATACACTACCAAGTGTAAAGTGGATAGCTAGTGAGAAGCAGCCCCGTAGCACAGGGAGATCAGCTAGGTGGTTTGTGACCACCTAGAGGGGTGGGATAGGGAAGGTGGGAGGGAGGGAGAGGCAGGAGGGAAGATATATGAGAACATGTGTATATGTATAACTGATTCACTTTGTTATAAAGCAGAAACTAACACACTATTGTAAAGCAATTATACTCCAATAAAGATATTAAAATAAATAAATAAATAAGATGGGAATCTTCAGACCCTAAGCTGAGAATGAAATCAGTGGTTCATTTCCATTGCTGGAAACCAAAATCGATCTTTGAGCATACAAGGTGACTAAAGTACATACATTATCTTTTAGTAGGAGTCTTTATGTGTTATTGCTTAGGTAGAACCTGTGCAGGCAACGTAAGGTTTGGATTTAACTCTATAGTTAAGATTTGATTGTTATGTTAAATAAATGCTTTAAAAATCCGCATATACCAATCTCCTCTTAAATAGTAATATGTCAAAATAACTTTTTTCAATAGAAAATATATTGTTTGAGTCACTATCAAAGGGGGCCCTGTGGGCTACTGATGGTCTGCCAATCTATTTTTGGAGATACTAGTTCTTTAGAAAGAATCCATATATTATGTTTGAGAAAGCCTACAATATAAATGTATAAGATTTCTCTTTTTTTCTGCTGTTATTTTATTTGGTATGATAAAAACAAACAAAAACCACCCTTTTAGACTTGTGACATTGAAGGAATCATTACCTTCTCTAGAATCAGTTTCTTCATCAGTAAAATTCAGGTAGCTTATGGGACTATTGTGATAAAGGAAATAAAGTATGTGAAATGTTTATAAAGTGCTATACTAGTGTAATGCTAGTGGTGATGGTATTTGCTCTCGAACAATAGTTGTGCTGGTAGACTCACTACCTCAGAAAGTATCTTGGGTGTTATATAAGGTCTGATTTCCTCACCTATAGGATAGTACCTGCTTTGTAAGTTCATTGTCGAGAAAAAAGTGAGCTAATGCACATGAAAGAGTAACCATAGTGCCTGGCACATATAAGTCATAGGTATTAGTAATTTTATTCTTAGTATCATAATTCTTATATATATAATTATATATAAATATCATCTGCAGTTTTAAATTATGTGTGAGTCATCATTCTGTGCAAAAATTTTAATTCTTCCATGAAAACTTTAAAGATAGGGTGCTGTCGCTTGTGATAATTATTCTGATAAGATACAATAGCTTTCTAATACTGCCCTGTATATGAATCTTAAGTTGACTGAATATTAACTTATGCAAGAAAGTTTTTGTGAGGATTAATTCAAGCCATCAGGAGTAGTAAGAGCAATTCTAAGTTAACTAGAGGCTTATCAAGTTAAATGAAGAGCAAGATTTTAAGAGTATCTGAATTAATGTTATAGTGATGGCTGCCACAACCGGGGTAAGTCACTTTTGAAGGACGCATTGGTGCTGTAGCAGACACTGAGGTATGTCAGCAAGGGCTGCTACCTTTCCCCTTGACAGGTAGAATCATGCTGGGCATCAACTAGAAGGTCCTGGGCCAACACTGCCCTTTGGTGTTTGACGTAGGGAGTGGCAACTTCTGGGGGGTAACAGTAGGGAATTATCAAGACCAAAAATCTGTCTTGAGGTACTTTCCCTTACCTTCTCCACTCAAACCTGCAGCTTCCTACTATTTACTTATTAAATCTAACTCATCCTGCTGAGCCCTAATGTATACAAATTCATTTCTCTCTCTTCTTGATAAGTTTGGCCCCTCCAATCTGATCTCTCTCCAGCTGTATATTCAGAAGCAGGCCTCTGACTCTGTACTAATGCAGATGTGTGCTTCCTGGTCCAAAGTGTCAGATCCTTCAGGACAAAGACCATGATGAGAGTGTTCAGCATGGTTCTGGGCATGATACAAGCACTTAAGCATTCATAGAATGCATCTTTCCTTGTAAGTCTGTTGTTTACAAAATTCAATTTATACACGCAACTAATATATAATTTAGTCATTCTATGAAAAAATAATATAAATAAAATGAAAGAACAGTAACATAATTAGAAGTAGCCTTTTGAAAGAGAACAGAGTAATGTGTTTCTTCTGGATTGTAGAATGAAAAATTATAACATTCAGTCATGCTATTTGGAGTAAAATTTAAATTCTTATTTAGTCCTGTTGAGTGAATATTGCTACCTTCACAAATGCTTCCTGGGAGTCAGCTATACATAGTTAACAATGTGCTTATAATGATTTTCTCATTTTATGCAGCTTCCTCCAGCTTTGTACCACAATTTGAAAAGAAGGGTTATAGAGAGATTCAAGAAATCCCTCTTCAGCCAGCAGAGTAACCCTTGTAATTTGAAATCTGAAATTAAAAAGGTATAGTATTCTATATATAGGAATTCTTCTTTGACTAACAAAAAAACATCATGAGAATTAAATTTTATACCTCCTGTGCTTGTATCCTCTATTTAAAGCTCTGCCCTCTACAAAGGATATTATCAATGTTTGTCTTAGTCCATTTGGGCTGCTATAGTAAAAATACCATAAAGTGTGGAGTTTATAAACAGCAAGAATTTATTGCTTATGGTTCTGGAAGCTGGCAGTTCAAGATCGGGGTACCAGCATGGTCGGGTCTGGTAAGGACCCTCTTCCAGGTTGGAGACTGCCAACTTCTTGCTGTATCCTTACATGGCAGAGGAGGCAAGGGAGCTCTTCCAGGCCTCTTTTATAAAGGTACTTTTTATAAGAACACTTATATAAGGGCTTTATCGTTATGGCCTAATTACCTCCCAAAGGTCCCACCTTGGAGGTTAGTTTCAATATACAAATTTTGGGGGACACAAACATTGAGACCATAGCACTGCTTAAGATACTAAGTCGAGGATATGTTTTTACCTCTAATTTTCTCACATTTATTTCTGAAGCCTTGTTCTAAGAAGACTAATAGAAAGTTCTTTCAGTATTATTGCATGTTTTCCTAAGAAGAAATGTTATTAAATATATTTAATTTAATTTAAATATTTAAATATTTAATTTAAATTTAAATTAAATTAAATATTTAATTTAAATAAATATATGTCCTTTTTAGAGAATTCTATTCCAACGTTTGTTGGAATATTCTTCAATGAGCCCCTAAATTGAGCTTTGCAACTCTGAAAAAGTCAGTTAACCATCTGAGGCCATGATTTTTATCACCTATGAGGGTGGAACGAACAATTTCTAAGGTTCTTTTCGTCTTCAACATTCTATGGTCTCCTAGATTTTGGGTGCTGGTAAATAGTTCTATTCTTACATAAGGAAACTAAATCACAAAAAGGTTAAATCAACCAGAAAGAAAGAAAATTGTTTATTTCTGGTTAACACAACTTGGTAATAGGAAATCCGTTTGACCTGGTCAGTAGTCATTTTGAGGTGGTCACAGGCTCCCATTCTCCTGTCCCAGAAAGACACAAGGCCCAAACAGCTTGGGCCCAGTTGTGTAAAGATGCTTGATCACACTCCAATTTTGTGTATTTTTTAAAAGCTTCAGCATGTACTTAAACTTTGGCACAAGCATGCTTCCAATGAACTTTTTCTTTAAGGTTTCTTTTTCTTTTACTGTATCCAATCTGTAGTATAAATTAACTCATAATTTGGGCAATGTTGGAAGACAGAGGGAACCAAAAGTGCCCACTGAACTGAGAAGGTATCTTGAGACAGAAAATCGAGGCAGGCAGCTCCATGTAATCAATGGACCAGTTTATTACAGGATAAGTTACAGGGTGGGATCTGGATCAGGTGGACAATGACCCAGAAGCATTCACAGCTGCACTCCACACCTCTGAGAGGGGACATTGGGACAGTTTTATAGTTAACCAAGGAGTTGGGGGGCTGCTCGGAAATAGGACGTGCCTTCCTAAGTCAAGTTTTATGAATGGGTAACTGTCTCGTGGGCGCTGGGAATACGTGAGCAAAGGTCTTCATCATTGTTTAGGGACTAACAGAGCATGGAGGCCACCTGGTCCTAATGATTATTAAACAATGTCTCTTAACTACAAAGCTCCTAATGACAGAGAAGTGATTTATTGTGTGGTACAGTCCTGGATAGGGTCAGCGGGAGGACAGGAGGAGCTATATGGGCCCAAGGTAGCATCAGTTACGCTAACGGTCATATAGGTTCTTTGATAAGAAATGCAAACAGTATGTTTTTACTTTTTTGCCTTACATCAGTGGTGTCTGTACATACACAAACAGGAGATGGGAAAAAAAACACATAGCTGCAGGTAAACAAAACATAAACCCTACCTCATCTGAGATTAGAGATTTTATGGGTTGTCTTGGCAAATAAGGCCGAGAAACAAAGCTAGGGGAGATCAAAACAGAAGTGGAAGAGACTTCAGATATTTATTGTAGGATATTCACATATTGCATCATGAATACCAATAAATAGATTTTAAAGACAGAAGCTCAAGTCTCCCATGAAAACGTTACATATTGATAAGTTTTATATTCTTATTAAAATGATATTCAGAATAATCCAGTTTGTACACACATTTATTTTAACAGAAATCCTAGCTTTATGAGAGGAAGGAGCCTGCTGCAAACTGAGACGTGAAGGGGGCTGCGACCTGTCCCTGCTCCGTGTTTCCAGCAGTGCCTGTCCTTAGTACAAATCATCATCTCTTTTGTGACTTAGGTTTTCAGTTTGGCCTCCTTCCTTGGTGTCTTTCTTTTCCTCCTTTTGTTTAGCTATGCCACCCATTCCCAACCTTGTGTGCTTCCTCTGCTGTGGTGGCATCTCTCGCAGGAGCATCTCATCTCTGTTCTTAGTCTGGGGCATATGGGGACCGAAGGGGCCATAGATTCATCCTCCTTTCAACTGGGTTAAGACGCAGATTAAATTATCCTATGAAGAATGCTATGGTCTCATCTGATATTATAAACCTGTGGTGGTTCATATGCTTATGAAGTGTACCCTATAATCGGGGGCAGGCCTCGCCTCCTATGAGCTAAAGAAATTGGAAGCCTGGGATATTAACCAGCTCCTCCATTAACACTTTTCTTAATTTTCCTTGTGCAGAATTAATCTCCCCCTCTATGCTTCAATCACTTTTTCACTCATATCGTTGTGTTTTAAATAGCTTTTTATTCAAAAGATATTTAGTTCACATGTCTGTTTACTTAAGGGTAGTGAGTTTATCTTGTTCATCTTTGATTCCCCAGAGTTGTACACCATGCCTGGTAGATGCTTAATGAATAATTGTTGAATATAGAATGAATTCTAGATTGATAGACATATTCTATATAACATATCCTATATTGGTTCTATTCTTTATTGATATATAAATATTGATAAATATATTAATATATTTCTCCATGAAAAAAAAGAAGCCCTCCTGCCCCCAGTCTAAACCTAAATGAGAAAATTTTGTGACCTGTTTTTCCCCCTTTCTGGTGTAATTTTTAGTCAGTGACAATTTTTTTCAGAAATGGCTTTTTCATCCCCTGTACAATCATAGGGGAGTAGCCCATTAGCCTTTGAATGACATGGTCACCCCAAACTATGGCCGTGGAAGAAGTGGTGACAACATATAAAGTGCCTGTGATTTCCACCCTCCCCTCTGAAGCTTCTCCTAAAATCTGGGGACTCCATGTCTGCAGTTTGAAGGAGTCATTATGGGATGATTGCAACTTACTTATGAGTGGCCTGAGGCCCAGCAGGATGGACAGAAGGGTCAAAACATGGAAGAGCCCTTTTCCAAGAAATGAGCCTCTTTATTTATGACTCACCTGAGGTGTCTTCAGTCCAGGCTGCTCAACATTGGCTAGAATTGCAGGGTGAACAAAGCATCTTTGCAATTGTATAGGTGTCTTTGAGAACTAGGGTTTTCAGCATGGGAGAAAGAAGAAACAGAAACAAAGTAGAAAATACTAACTCAAGTTAGAAGTATCAATATGAATCAGTACGAATTCATGATAGATCTCATCTTTAAAAAAGACACATATTTCCTAAATTTCACTAAAATGATATAGAAACGAAGCAGGGTGCTCCCTTTGCACCCATGGCTTTGGAAGTATAGCCCATTACAGCTCTTGAGCAGGAACTGAACAAGACTAGGCTGGAATATCTTGACATAACAGAATACATGGCGAGGATGCTGTCAAGGACTACTGAGCGTGTGTCAGAAGGACTCAGGAGCCAACAAAGAGGCTCTCACAGACTATCTATTGGATAATTAAAGCGTCAATAAGAATAATAACCAAAATTGATTGAAAGCATTAACTAATGTTTAAATCCGAGAGTTCACAATAGTAAAAAAAGAAAGAAAAAAAAATCTCTCATTGGTTACCCTTTGGAAGATTTCATTATTTTGAAAATTGTTTACAAAAGGAAAGAATCAAACATTTATTCTGCCTTTCTCTTATGAATTCTATCTTAGGGTAACTAAATTGATGAGGGGGAAGTTTCTCATTAAAGAAGTACTTCAGCTAATAAGTACTGAAGGAATAAAAAATATTGTCATTTTGCAGCCCCTGAATGAAATAATGGATCTGACATGATCACTACTGGCTGCTGACATCACACAAAGAGGAACAAGCGGACAGTACATGCCTCCTGATGGATGTGCACAGCACATCTGTGAAATGTACATGCTAAACACTTGAATCTGCATCTAATCAGCCTCTAAGATTTAAGCATAAGAAAATAGTGAGTGTAAATATTTCTGTTAACAAAGTGACCTATAAAGTCTAATAAAAACTAATAGAAAGGAGCTGTAGGTTAGAAAAAATGAAAAATAAGGCAATATTTTATGTCTTAACATGTTACGTAATTCAGTCAAAGAGGACAAGAACAATCTAAAGAAAAAAAGATCAGAGGACTGATGAGTGAAGTGTGATAAAACATGTTGAAACATTTCTCATTTCTGACACCTAATTTCATTTATTTTGGCTTAATTTCCTTCAGAGTTCTATCTCAGTTGATTAGGTTCCAAATCATTTATGTAGTTGTTCTACAGCAAAAATAGCCTTATTTTATGATATGGAAAAGAAGATACAATTTGGGGAATTTAATGAGGATTAAATTTGTAGTTTCTCCTACAAATTTTATTTTCTCTATTTAGTTTTTGCCTAAAAAGTACTATATACTCAATTGACAAAGTGATAAAATTGTTTGATATTTGCTCAAAATTAGTGGTTTTTTGGGGAGAGAGGTAGTATATAGTGATATAATATTTTCTCTGTAATATTTACTTGACTTGTTTAGTTCAAAAGTGCATACAATTATTTGCTCCTTAGAACTGTAGATGTTTATTCAGAGCAGAAGAGCCCTTTTTTAAAATTTTATTTTTTATTGCAATATAGTTGATTTACAATGTTTTGTTAGTTTCTCGTGT